GTAAGAAATGTACGCATTATCCTGCCCATGCAATTGTAACCCCTCTGTACAGTATGTTCACAAATAAAATAAAATAAAATTAAAAAAAAAAAAGACTAGTACTCTACCACTTGAGCCACAGTACCACTTCTGGTTTTCTGGTGGTTTACTGGAGACAAGAGTTTCAAAGCCAGCCTAGGCAGGAAAATAAGTCTCATGGACTTTTTTTTGCCTGGGCTGGCTTTGAACCATGATCCTCAGATCTCAGCCTCCTGAGTAGCTAGAATTACAGGCATGAGCCACCAGCACCCAGCCCAGCTCTCATTCTTTATTCAACATTTTTTTGTGTTTTTTTCTCTTTGGTGGGAATGGGGTTTCGAAGCCAGGGCCTAGGCACTATCCCTGAGTTTTTTTTTTTGCCCCCCAAGCCTGTGCTCTACCATTTGAGCTATATTCATGTTCCTAGCCCAACTCTGTGTGCGTGCACACACGCATGCATGTACACACGCACGTGTGTACTTGAGTTTACACCTAGGCCTTTTGCTTTTCCTCTACTTTTTCACTCATGGGTAGTGCTCTACCACTTCAGCAATGCCTGTACTTCTTTTTGCTGATTAACTGGAAATAAGAGTCTCTCAGATTTTTCTGCCTAGGTTGACTCCAAATCATGATCCTGAGATCTCAGCCTTTTGAGTAGATTAAAGGGATGAGCCACCATTACTTGCTCAACCTAGCTTTTTAATGATTATTTTGGAGACAGAGTCTTCCAGACTTTTCTGTCCAGTGTGGCTTCTAATTGTGATCCTCTAGATCTTAGCTTCCTGAGTAACTAGGATAACAAGCATGAGCCACAAGTGCCTTGCCTTGGTGGTGGTGGTATTGGCTGTGGGGCTTGAACTCTGGGCCTGGGCACTGTCCCTGAGCTCTTCAGCTCAAGGCAAGTGCTTTATCACTTGAGCCACAGCACCACTTCTGGTTTTCTGGTAGTTAATAGGATATGAGTCTCATGGACTTTCCCTCCCAGGTTGGCTTTGAACCATGATCCTCAGATCTCAGGCTCCTAAATAGCTAGGATTACAGGCATGAGCCACCAGCACCCAGCTCATTACTGTTTTAATCCATTAATACATCTTTTCTGGAGACATTTTACATAATGGTCTTTTAGGATGAATGCCAAATTGAGTCAAACCTACAAAAGCTTTTCATTTAATTTTTAGCCTCATCCAAGGGTCATAACTGATCTGGCTTTGTTCCTTCTCTGACAGTGTTTCCTATCACTTTCCTTCTGGCTATTTTCTATATGTAATAGACCCTATTTCTATACATAACAGACACACTTTGTAAGGCATGGACTGAACTTCCCAACATCTATTAGCCAACTCACCTCCTTTTGTGCTTTTTGCTCAAATCTTATTTTTTAAATGTGGCCTAAAACAATCATTTAGGAGCTGGGCGCTGGTGGCTCACGCCTGTAGTCCTAGCTGCTCAGGAGGCTGAGATCTGAGGATCGTGGTTCAAAGCCAGCCGGGGCAGGAGAGACTGTGAGACTCCTATCTCCAATAAACCACCAGAAAACTGGAAGTGGCGCTGTAGCTCAAGTGGTAGAGCACTCACCTTGAGCTGAAGAGCTGAGGGACAGCGCCCAGGAGGGAAGCGCCCAGGCCCAGAGTTCAAGCCCCACAACCGTCAAAAAAAAAAAAATCATTTAGGAAACTGAGGAAATACAAACGGAAGTATGTGAAAATTATCTAGAACCCTGCCTCTTTGAACTGAATTGCAATGTATACATATACTTATTTCCTTAATAAAATTTAAGTATATACATAAAAAATAAGGCTGGGAATGCAGCTCAGTGGCAGAGTGTTGGCCTATCATGTGTAAGGCCCTGGGTTTGACATTCAACATCACAAAGGAAATAAAGGAAGTCTGCTATTAATTGGTCTACTAAAGCAGGAAGTTTTATGCATGAGCATGAAAAATAAGAAATGAGACAGTGAGGAAATTCCATCCTTTTGCCGCATAGGTGGCTTCCCATGTTAAGGATACTAACCTTTTTTTTGGGGGGGGGGGGTCCGGTCGTGGGGCCTGAAGTCTGGGCCTGTGCACTGTCTTCAGCTCAAGGCTAGCGCTCTACCACTTGAGCCACAGTGCCACTTCCGGCTTTTTTTTTCTTTTTGTTTATGTGGTACTGGGGAGTCGAACCCAGGGCCTCATGCATGCAAGGCAAGAGTTCTACCACCGAGCCACCTTCCCAGCCCAGGATACTAACCTTTTTGTATATACTAAGCTTTCCCCCCATCAGGCATTCTTTTTTATTTTTTTAAACCCTTTATAAGATCAAAGGATAGAAACAAGGTAAATGTCTTAAATACACATCTTAATCACACACACACACACACATACACACACACACACACACACACACACACACACACACACACACACACACACGGTTATGTTAAAGAGCTCTAGCTAGCCTCAAATGCTTTTGTTGTCATTTGTGGGGCTTGAACTCTGGGCCTTGGCGCTGTCCCTCAGCTCTTCAGCTCAAGGCGAGCCACAGAAACACTTCTGGTTTTCTGGTAGTTTATTGGAGATAGGAGTCTCACGGACTTTCCTTCCCAGGCTGGCTGTGATCCTCAGATCTCAGCGTCCTTACAGGTGTGAGCCACTGGTGCTTGGCTAGCCTAAACTCTTACTTCAGCCTCCCAAGTGCTGGGATTTACAAGTGTGCACCACCACACATGGCTCCAATATTTTTATGTTGTATAGGTTCTAGAGATCTCAATGGACAAAAATCAAAGAAATAAACTATAGGAGGGAAAAAAAAACCTCAAAATAACAAAAACAGAAAATCTACTTACCAATCATTAGGGTATTAAGTGTTGTTCCCATGATCTGAATGCTTGAATCTCCCTGAGGTTTATATGTTGAAATTCTAAACTCACAAATAATAAATAGTATTGGGAGGTAGGACCTTTGGGACGTGATTAGGGTATGAGGGCAGAGT